TGCAGCCACAATGAAGCCCTTTCTCTAAATATTTTCTTTTCCTGACTGGTTTCCATTATGCTGGTGTCATTGTCATGTGAAGTTGGTTTAGCATTTCCCTGGTAACCTTTCATTCATACAATGTCTGTCATTCTCTCTCCTGTGGGACCCCAAACTGTAATTGGGTTTCTCTGCTAGGAGCTGATCAGCCACTTGAACACAATGGAGCAGGATATGGATGTGTCACTAACAGCATCCATCTTACCTGAAATTACAGCACAAAGACAGTTGTACCTCCTAATACCAGTGCTGCTTTAGTAGCACTTGTAAAGTGGTGAGAATAATATCATATTGCAGCCTGTTCATTAGTTAAGACTTGTTAATTATCCCAGTTAGATGTATGAGAGAAGTGAAAACCAAACTATGTTGCCAGCCAGTTCTCATGTCAGAACTAAATGTATTTATGAAGCAGCAATAGAACTTCGCTATTATCTGCTTTCCCCTATTTTTAGCACTTGTGTGTTTGCTGCTTTAACAGAAGGTTTTGTTGAGGTATCAGTTCTACCCGTCATTTAAGAGTGGGATGAGCTTAGAGGATGCTTTTGCAGATACTGTGTGTTTAGAGGCCCATTTGTCTCCTGTTGGACCAGGGTGTAGCCCTGAATGTGTTCTCTTCAGGGTTGCTCAGAACAGCTGTAACTTCCTGCATATGCCCTTCTTACATTTGTTGGGTTGTTTTTTCACTGGATGTTACACTGGTGTACTGACTTTGTCTCAAGTCGGACTGTCACATGCAGCAGCTCTCACTTGAAGCTGGCACCCACAGTTTCTGGCCAGGACTTCCTAAGTTTTGTTTTCTTCCTTTATTTTATACTCCTGCCTATCGCTGACACTCCTATTTTGAAGAAAAGCTGGGAGAAAAATAAATATACTCCTGTTTGTAAATTCTGCCAGGTTCAGAATGGTGAACGTGTTTCCTTAGTGCTACTTACTTTCAAGGCTCATCTTTCCTGGCTGACTCTGCTAGTTCATTGCTTCTGTATCATTCAGTTGACCTCGCTTTTTTCTCTTTTCAGTTTCCACTGTCAAATACACCTGCAATAACCAAATACTGATATTCTGAGTTGGAAACACTCTTGAGTGAGTTCTAATTCTGGTTTTGACTGATTTTCCCATCCCTGGCAGTGTTCAAGGCCAGGCTGGATGGGACCTCAAGCAACCTGGTCTAGTGGAAGGTGTCCCTCCCCATTGCAGGGGGGTTGGAACTAGATGAGCTTTAAGCTCCCTTCTAACCCAAACCAGTCTATAGTTCTGTGATTCTATGATCAGTAGGATTTTTAAAGTACATGGGATTTGAGCTGCAAATGTCCTGTCCTATAAAACATGAGACTGTGTTTACGTATTGTACAGCTGGATGCCTTTCAAATGTTAAGCTTGTAGTGCAAAGTTACAATGACCAGAACACTAAATATTCTAGTTCACCTTTTTATCCTTTCACCTGGCTTCTTCCAGGCTGTGAGTAGAAAAGTGGCGTACAAGTTCAGTGGGTAGGGTCATACTTCAGGCTTCATGTATTGCTGCTTGTTTTACATGCAGTGAGTGTTTGACCAAACAGCACATGTATGTGTGTGTGCGAGCATGCAGGCGAATGAGTGTAAATTGCAGTTTTATGTTTTTGGGTTTTATAGACTGTGTCCTTGATGGTTCTGGACAGTCTGATCACTGATGGTGGTTGGTAATAAGATTCTAATGAAAGATCCCGTTAGTTGGCGTTGCTGGCAAGGAGTAGCTCATCATCCTGGAAAGTGATGTTGCCTTAGAAACCAGTGCAAAGGACTGCACAGAAATGATTGTGTTAGATTAAAAAAAAAAAAAAAAAGCAGCAAAGGCATTAGAAGGGATAAGTAATAGCTTCGGGAGTGAAGCAAAAATAGAAGCACTAGGCTGATTCATCTGCTGAGGCTGGAAGCTTGCAGATTGGGTATTAAGTCGTGACGTGTTGATGTAGTGATCTTCGCCTGCTCTGGGTATTGGCACTGTCTCAGCCTGGGCAGCCGTGTGTTACCTGGTAAAGCCCAATGAAGCGGGCAGGGATTCTTCCCCTTGGAAAACGCTCGTGTTCAGAGAAACAGTATAAGCATCAAAATATATCTAAGCAGCTCAGATAAATTACTACAGATGTGTTTGATGTTGGTAATGAAATACGTGCTGTATGTGCTCAGCTTCCCTGACAAGCTTATTTGTGCCAACTGTACCTGAAATAAAAAGACAGGATTTAAAGATGGTAAGAGGATATGAAAAGGCAAAATAGAACCTTCCTCCTTGTGAAACAGGCTGCTATCTCACCACTGGAATGTTCTGAGAACCTTCAGGTGTAGCAGGTGAATCTCCGCATCCAGAAGCTGGACCAGGATCCGACTCGCAAGAGCTTGCAGCTATTTCACTGCCATTGCCTGACCCATTCTCAAAAAAAAAAAAAAAAGGGAAAAAGAAAAAGGATGGTGGAGAGCCAAAAGTATTGTGAAACCCCAGGTTTGATATTTGAAAAGTATGAAATCTTCCTTAAAGTTGAACCAATGGTAAAAGCAGTGAATGGGCTTCCTTTCAGGAACCCAGCTCCTCTGTAGCATTTGCCCTTCCTTATTTGAGCTGTTTTTTCAAAATCTGTCCAACTCTTGTTTTCTGAGCATCCTCCCACCCTTTTCAGCTTATCTTCATTGACTAGTTTCTCTTAGAATTCTTTAGAAAATGCAAGGTTTCTTAAGAATCTAAAGGAAAAACTGGGACCAAAGCTCCAGTGTGAGGACTGCTGGTGATGTCTTGAGTGGTGATTTCTGGTCTTGCTGAAAGCTCAATACAACCACTGTGGCATAGCTTCAGAAGCAGAATATTAGTAAATTTAAATTTAAAAATGTGTTTGATAGAAGGTAGAAACGAGGGCACTGGAACTGAGAATGAGTGTCTTTAAACAACATGTTGTGGGCAGGATGAAGCTGTTGAAAAGCTCTTGGAACATGAACTCTGCATTACCTCTGCTAATGTCCTGAGAGATTAAGTATTAGATGACTTTAGAGATGTTTCACAGCTAAACATTCTCCTGCTTCTGAGTATCCCAGGTATTGAGTATGGTTCATTTCCTACATTAAAAAAAGATTATTAAATAAAAGGAGCAGTGGTGGTTGTTACTGGCTGTATATTGACATCATGAGTCAGACTTTTCTTCCCAGTGATGCAAATCTCCTCTGTGATACTGGGCTCTGAAGTACCAGCCCTAAATCAATGAGTGTTCTCTCTTCTGTTATAAATGGTAGCTATATGCTTAAAAAAAATTAATAAATCAAATAAAACCCTACTAGGTGGTTTCAGGTAGCTTTACAAACTTGCCCTGGCTCCTGGGGAAGTGCATTAAGTGATCTGTAATGGATTTGCAGCAAAAATCTTGTTTTGGAATTGACCGAGCAATAAAAGAATAGCAGTAATTACATGGAATTAGGTGACTTTGAGGTCTGCCATTTTGAGGAGAAGACTAAATGCTTCTAGAGTGAACAAGTGCTTGCAAACATTAGTCCTACATCATTACAGGAGAAAATGAAAGCCTTGAGCTAAGGTCCCATTTTTCACTAGCAAGACACCTATGAATATTTTAAAGTACAGAAAAATTGTTGAGGCCTTTTGAGAAGTGAAGCTTGTGGGTGGAACTATTCTGGTTAATTAGAGGGTGTCATGAAAGATTCATGAAACTTACAGTTCCTTAGTCATTGTTTTTAAATATAGCAGTGTCTTAAATCCAGAGCTTAAATACAAGTGGATAAATGTGTGGATTGTAACATTTCTCAGCAGCAGGTTAAATTGAGGGGGCGTAGTGTAGCTTGCAGTCTCTGGGTGTAAAAATACATTTATGCTTTGTTAAACTATAGCAGGGTGTCCTTTCACTGCATCAGCTTTAAGGACAAAATTTTTTCCTGGACTGGGATATACTGATGTCCGTAATGGTCGATGGCTGTAAAGTATTGTAACCCTAGTTCAGAGAAGAAAATTTGGCTTAGTCAAGGATTAATCTATACCAGGCACTTAAGGAAAAAAATAGATGAGTCTGCGGTTTGGTGCTAATGCAGTGGTAGCAATGCAGAGACTGGTGGCTGAGTGGCTAAAGCAGTCTTCAGCCCTCTCTGGTAGTTTAACCAGGGAAATAGTGTCCAGCTCAAGATCATGGTTAGAAAAGCCTTGTCAAAGCTGTTGGATATGGAGGTTTCACAGGATGGTTGATAGTGCACGGTATGTATGTTGAGACTAGTTTTGAATAGATCAATGGAAGATGATGTGAAATGCTAGGTGTAAATGAAGTGCAACAGAAAAAAATGCAGCTGAAAGTTACTGTTAAGATATGTTCATATTAAAAAAATATAATTACAAATAAGGTTTACAGTATTTAAGATTACAGTCCCTCTCCTGACCCATCCATCCCATTTCATCCTTTCCACCTTTGTCCGCTGGCTTATATGAGCAATACGGTTTCTGAGTTGTGAAATCCTCATTACAGCAATGCTTGTGATCACTGTTGACTCCAAAATAATATATTAAAATTCACCGAAAACAAAGCCCTTGTTCTGAAAGAGGTCATTCTGCTCTGTGCTGTTTGAGCCTGGGTTTGTTTTGGGGGTTTGTGCTTTGTTTTTCCTTAAGGAGAGGAAAATTGCTAACCTCAGATCCTAAGTCTTCTTCAGAGGGAGGTTGATCAGCAGGAATTAGTAGTTATAAATGCACTGATCATAATACAGTTTGACAGAAAAAGGAGATGCCTATATTTCCCCAAATATGTAACAACCTAAGAGATGCTGCTCACAGAAATGTCATTTCCCTGAGATGAGCCAGAGATGGGTATTTCTGTTACAGGAGTGTATTTATTCCTCTTCATTTTTTATGCAGAAGGATAAAACCTGTCATTTCCATTTGAAATAGTGGCTGAATCCACTAAACGAAGGCGTGCAGCAGGCAGGGGGTGGGGAGGAAGGAGGTTTGTCATGAATACAGGGGGCATGGTGTGTCGTCACCGGCGCCAGCAGCCTGCGAGCTCGGCTCACTCTGAGCTGGTATTACAGCCGCGGGAGGAAGCGAAGCCCTCGGAAATGTCTCTCTCCAACAAGCAGCCCGCATCACTCTCTGAATACAGCCAGCTGTGTAAAGGCAAGAACACGGAAAGCTTCTCGGAAGCCTTCCACTGCATGGAGTCCCCGAAAGACTTCGGCAAAACTGAATTCGAATGGCAGAGGACTGAGGGGAAGCTGAATGAGATTGGCTTGAATGTGAACTCGGGACCGATTAAGGATGGGCTCGTTAAGAACGCTGGTTTCACCGACGAGGACAAGCTCTGCTTCTTTGAAGGAAAACTAGACAAAGAGCTAAAAATAGCTCAGAAAGACAAAAGAGAAATTGAGGTGCAAGGCAAAAAATACCAGGCAGCTGCAGGTCACCTTGAGAGCTGGTCTTTGATTTCGGAAACGTTTCCTTCTGCTGAAGGGAACTTTGCAAACCCTAAAACTACAGATTTTCATGTGGGACAGGCAGGAGCTGAAAAACCTGGTCCTGGGCTGGGTAAAAATGAAGCCATCACCGATCAGGAGAAAGCTGTCAGTAAGGCTGGAATGGAGAGCAAATGCCAGCCAGACCCAAACCTGCCCAGTGTGTCAGTGTCGGAGAGTGATCCCAGCAAATACATGAAGGAGCAGGAAATCAGTGTCTGGAATCCAAATTTCCATCCTATCCTGCCTAACGATTCGGGATCTAAAGAAGCAACCGTGAAGAAAGATGGAGCCCCCAGCTATTGTGTAATTGGGGTGGTTAATGACAACTATGTGCAGAGTGGATTTTCTTCTTCCTCAACAGTATCGAAGCCAGAACCTCCAACTACCACTGTAGAGCTTGCACAAGATGACTCCAAAAGTAGTTACTTTAATAATACCACTGAAATGGAGGAAGAGATGGAAGACAAGCTGAGCTGTGCAGACGATGGCAATTTTCTGAACAGGGCTGCCCACCAAAGGAAGGCAATGAGGCGTGCAATGTCAGAGTCCTCTCACTTGTCCGTGCCCCTAACCCTTAACCTGGCCGATAAATACCCTGAGCCGGTGCTTAGAGAAGACGTCGCTACTGGTCTGCTCTCTCCTAATAGCAGCCTGACCCAGTGCTCGAGCCCCACAGCCAGAAAGCCGGGCGCTCCAATGAAAAGGTCAATGACCGTGTCAGAAGAGCAAACATCTGTCTGCAGCTTGGGTGCCGAGCAGAGCCGTGCAGGGCTGCCCAGCCTGGTGGTGAAGGAGCATCAGGCCCTCCCGGCAGAGGAGCCGGCTGCCAAGAAGCGAGAGGAGTGGAACAGCAGCAGCAACTCAGTCAAGAAAGAGCTGGGCAGCCCGAGCTTGTATCACAGCAAGCTGGAGCAAATCCCTGAAATCAGCAGCCAGGACAAAGAGAGGGAGGAGGAGGTGGCCGTGAAGAAGGAGAAGAGAAATGCTGCTGATGGAGCTGCTGGGTTGGAGTCTCCTCCGAAAAGCAAATGCAATGAGATGGAATCCAGCAAAACTGCTCCACTGGAACGAAAAGAAATTGAGGTCAGCAATGTGCAGAGCTCTCCATCTCCCAAGCAAGGAGATTTACCACGTGATGGTATGTTGCTAATTTTTACCTCCCCAGAGAGTGAGCAGACAGTAGCTAGGAAGCACCTAAATGACTTTACAGGCTGCAGGCAGAGGGTGGGTGGCTTGGCACACCTGAAAAGACCAACATGGGTCATGTTCAGATAGTTAGAACAAAGGATGTATTTTGGGGTGGATGAAAATGGAGGAGAAATGTAAAAAAAAAATAATTGCCTGGCTGGTTCTGTTGCAGCACCAGCTATTAATTGCTTGCTGGGATCCTAAACCTAACACGTTTTAAAATCTGTAGCATCCACAGTGGTCCACATAGGTCCTTCTTGCCACTCCCTCTTGCGTGCAAAGGTACCCTTCTGATTTGCAGGCTGTATTGCTAGATCAAGGGCATTAATGAGTTAAAACCTTTCAATCTGCATCAAAAAGATCTGTGAATTGGGCTTTTTCATTAAGCTTTCAGCACCTTTTAGTATTTGTGTTTGAGGAGGCTAGCAAGAGTAAATGGGTAGAGCAATTCATGTGGTTAAGCTCTTCCTTATTGCTCCAGTGCTGAAATTCAAAGTGAAATTTCCCCATTACTTTTGGTCCCCTCTCTCCCAAAACCCCAGTTACAGCGGAGCCTTTCCCATTGCTAAGTGTCAATAGCAGCTTGTTTTATTTTGCAGTGTTTTGTTGTTTCGGTAGTGTTGTGATGTATGAGGTCAGGCTTCCCGGATTTAAAATCTGTGAGAAGAGTTGTTAATCTTTGTTCTCCAGCCTGGAACAACATCTCTGTCCCTCTTGCCAGCTCCAGTCAGCAATAAATCTGCCTCTCTTCTCCCAGATTTTGAGTGTGAGGATGGTCTGTGTGCTTTGTTTGTAGCCTGCTTTAATGAAAGCTTTGAATGGGAAGAGGAAAGAAAATGTGTCAGGGAATAAAGACAAAAGACTTGTGTGGGAATTTTTGCATCTGATGAGTTGTTTTCTATCCAGCTGCTTTGCTGAACCTTTAGTGAACTAATATAAAACTTGGAATTGTAACACCCCAGTGTGAAAGGAGAGAGTGACAGACAGGTGTGTAGAGGGATGCACCCTTCAGGTAGAGCTCCAAAAGAGGCTGTATTTGGGTTGAGAAGCTGAGCTCTCCACAGCAGTGAGCAGGGAAAGGCAGTCTCTAACCAAGGTGGTGTGCTGCGATAACACCGTTTTTGCAGTGTGTTAGTGACACCCAATGGTCAGTCCGTTGGGTCTTATCCCAGCTCATGCAGGGCTCTCATCACTCATCCTTCCAGCTGTCAGTGATCACTTGCAACAGAATCATGTTCTCTGTCTAATTAGAGTCTTACTTTTCTAATAATTCCTCTAAAATGCTTCTGTTTCCAAGACTCACGATCAGAGATCCACAGAACAAGGTGTTGGCGATGCAAACCTCCCCTCTCCTAAGTGCTGATATCTCTTGCCTTCTACCCTTTCTATGATCTTGGTGTTACCTTGTTCCTCATGGTCTGCTTGGCATACAGATTTTAAAGAGCTCTGTCAGTTTTGAGATGAAGTAGTGTCAGTTTTGGTTCCAGACATTGGGCCTTTAGAGCCTGAACAGAGATGTCAAGTCCTTTTGTGCAGGCAGGGGCCATCAGCTGTCCTGTTGATAGTCACTGGAGCAGTGCAGTGAGCTCCTGGCTGCAAGTGCAGTGGAGGGAATGCCTGGAGATGTGTCTGCTTGAGTGCAGGTAGGACCCATGCAGATCTATGGTTACCTGTGCTCAATTTTGTACTCAAACATGACATCAGTAAAAGTGATGCTGGCAAATGTGGAACAGGAAAAGGTACTGTATCTGGCTGTAAGACCAGGTTGGATGGGGTTTTGAGCAACCTGGTCTAGTGGAAGGTGTCCTTGATCGCAGCAGGCAGGCTGCAATTGAATGGTCTTTAAGGTGTCTTCCAACCCAAACCATTGTAGGATTCTATTATTGTATGATTTGTGCACACCTTTCATGTCAGAGTTTCTGTGGTGGGGGGGTTGCAGACCTGTGCTCTGCAACTGACATTTATTTGTAACAAGGTAAACTAGGAAAGAGGTTAATATTTGGACAACTAGGAAATCAGGTTTGGCTAGGCCAACAAAATTGATCAAGCTTGAGATACAACCATTTTAAAAACCAGATACCTAGGGTCTTTAAATCAAAAAAAAACCAACATTTAAAACATAATCTAAAGTGGATTGACATGTTTTCCCCAGAGGGGCTGAGCATCAGCGATGTAAAGGTCACTGAAAGATAGGAATGCTTGGAGTCATCTGGCTGGGTTGGTTTTTGCAGATGGCTAATTCATATTGCCAAGTGCTTTTTTGTCAGCATCTAAGTCTAAAATTTTGCTCTCTCACAATTGTTATTTTAAAAGCTGGTTTACCATCCTTAGAACCATACAAACATAGAATCAGCTAGGTTGGAAAAGACCTTTTAAGGTCAGGTCCATAGGTCTGGGTGTGAACTGATACGGTAATAACTGGGACAAGAATATAGTTGTACTCCTTTTTTACTCTCTTCAAAATTGCCAGCTGATTGGGTCAGGTTGGTTTTGTGGTATTGTGTTGGTAAGAAATAAGCTCTGGTTTTATTCTCTCTTGGAAGAAATAGCGGTAGACTATTAGATATGCTCTTTGCTTGATATATATGTAGGGTAGAAAGAATTTTTGGAATGGAAAAGAGACAAAAATTCCTCAGGTGTAGGATGCTTTCAAACTCTGTGACGAGCTTTTGCTTCCTCTCCCCTGTTAATAAGCAGAAGAGGCGGTTGTACTAAAAGTAACTCAAGCACACAAGCAGCTTTGGCTGTAAGTATGGAACTGATTCTAAATCTGTCCTTTGCATTTTAGTCACGGTATAAATTACCCGTGCATATCCTTATCAACTTCCCCTGCTTCAATTGTGGCATTCTCTGTGCAGGTCTCCAATTACAGGGTGATATGTCCAAAATGGGGTTTTCCTTCTCTTTATTAATTCCTCTGTTTTTCTGCCTATTCTGTGTGCTCATTCTGAACTTAGCGGTTATGTTTGGGGGAACAACTTTTGTTACTTGAACCTTTTTTTCATCCTAAAAATTCGTGAAAGAATTGGCCACCCTGATTCTAATCATTTGAATGGCATCTGTCTCAATTTCTGCCCAAAGTAGGTTTTCTTGGTCCTGTCCACCCAGGGTTGTGGGTATTTTTGCTGAACATCTGCTACTCTGGGAGATTTTTTTATGTTAAGGTAACCTACAATTGTACATAAAATATTTCTTCCTTGCAGATAATTGTGTGTTAGTATGATGGCACGTTTAGTTTAATTTTATTCTGAAAAATTGTCCAAAAGGCACACCTCTTCAAATCTTTAACATACGACAAATCTTTCACCTCATATAAGTGAGGAGGTCCTGGCTGAAGATTAATCCTGATCAGAGCGGAGCTACAGAACTTATTCTAGTCCCTTATTTCATCAGCAACTGCTGCAGATCATTGCCAAAACAAGCGATCACATTGTTTCTTGCATGGAACAATAGATTTGATTCATGTTCCCGTAGTGTATAAGCTGTTGTGTGATTTATTGCACGTACCTAATATGTCCCCTCCAGTGATATCCCTTAGATAAGTGATGTTATTCACCACTGCCTTCACCTTCTGTCTTTTGCATGAGTTTCATCCAACTTGAAACATTTTCTGCTCTGAAACATGAGGAAGTCCAGGCTTCACTGGACAGTGCTCAGCTGGGACCATTCACCTCCCTGACCCTCAGCACTTCAGTGTGTGCATCATGAAAATTGTCTTGGTTTTCTGGCTCTTATTTCTTTGTAAGTCCATAGCAAGGTGTGCCATCTGCCTAACTTCTGAATCTCCTGCAGGGTTTTGTTTTTTTTTCAGCAGAACACTTTGTGGTTTAGGTAAATACAAAATCCTAGAGTTCTAACATGATTATGTTAGACTGTGATAACCTATGGCCTCAGGTTTACAAAGATTGAAGTTAATTATGGGATTATGAAATACCAGCCCAGCTACCTCATAATGAACTGGTAATACTTGTTCAGGTAATGTTAGTGGTGTGGATGGTGCCCTGCTAACAAGGCTCCTCGCCAAATGAAATCGGGCTTCTAATGAGTGTTTAAAATGGATGTTGAAAGTGTTGTAATCATTGCATAAATAGGTGGGTTCTCTGTTCTGTAACACCCACTGTGCTTTTGCAAAAACTGACTGTCCAGGGGACATGGCCTTCAAAACAGCAGTTCACAGCAAACACCAGAGCTTGCCTCTTCCACTTTCTCTGAGGAGGGAGATGAGAAGAGCAAGGAGATGTGTAGGAACAGAAGACAGGTGGAGGGCAGTGTGTGCTGATTTTGCGCAGGGGTGTTGTTTATGGCCACGTGCTTCTCATCCCTGGAAACTCATGTTGCAAGCTTGAGGTGTCGAGGGTGGAAGGACTTAACGGGAATTTCTACTGGTGGATCTTCAAGGAATGCTAGGTAGTCTGTATGTGTATAAAATGTCGTACTTCATGTCCAAGGCCATTGATATATCAGCTGATATACAGGTTATAAAGACTGCTCACACCAGCTTCTGTGTGGCTAATTGTTGATATCAGATGATAGGCAAGAATTTGACATTGGATTATTTGGATCATTGGTAATATCTTTATGCTTAAGTGTTCAGAGACAGGATTGTGACTAATTATTTTGCATTTTGAACAGTACGGTATAGCAGTTTTACACCTTCAGATATTGAAAATACCCTGGGTGTCACCTGGCTCAAGCAGTACTCAAGCTTGTGCAGCCACCTGAAAAACGCACTGAGGCTTCATCAGTGTTCAGACCAGCCTTAGGAATAGACTTAAACAGGACTTCAGGCAGTGTTTCTTCCCTGCCCCCCACTCAATAGCCATTCTCAGATGACTTCAGTTAACGCTGTGGGTTTGCTCATGGTTTTGGTTTGACTGGGAGACGTGTTTGTGTCTTGCTTTGTCAGAGGCATTGATGGAAAATAGAGCTTTTTGTTGTTTTCATGAATGT